ATTAGGCGGCAGCCGTTGCTGTTGTGAACCGGCGGCCAGGGGCACAGTTTGAGCCTAGTGACTTCCCCTTCTTCATTAAGAAACAAAGTGCGATCCCCGGGGCACTTCAGTTGAAAAACTACAATGGTTACCAGAACGGGGGGTCAACAATCACTATTGTCAGTAGTGAGGGTTCAACCATAACAACAACAAACAAACACAGCAGCAACAACAATAACGACACAAACAAAACAACAACAACAACAACAACAACAACAACAACAACAACAACAACAACAACATCAACAACAACAACAACAATCACATCAATCACAACAACAGCAGCAGCAGCAGCAACAACAACAACAACACCAACAATAACAACAACATCATCAACAATAACACAAGCAACAACATCAACAACATCAACAACAACAAACACACCGCACACAATACAAACAGCATTCAATTTAACATTGTCCGCTCTTTCCTGCTCGCGTACAGTTCAGCACGTGTCCACCAATCCCTCGATACCCGCCCTCTTCGTTTTCGACCGTATCTCCTGATATTTATGTTGCTTACCTGCAACGTGTATTTCGTGCAGCCCCAGAAGCAAGGGACGAGAGGACGGATGGAAGGAAGGGACAAGGGGCAAGCGGGTTGCTGAAGCGTCCGTCCTGCGTGACTCACGAGGAAATCTCAAGCGATACCGCGATTCCCAAAACGATCGCGATGAAATCAAAAAAGAGAGCATAAGTTCTGAATGTCGGGGGCGCGGCGTCTGAAAGCATTGCGAAGGGGTCCCACACGAACGCGAGAATCCTGGGTACATTGTAAGGACCTCCAGCGCGAACAGGATGTGGGAATACAGTGTAAGTATCAAGCGGGGGCCGTTGTCGTTGTAGTTCGAGGCTAAGAAGAAGACGGTTTGGTGACCCGATACTTCCCCTTGTAAAAAACTGGATATGATCCCCCGGGAGAAGCACTTCATTTTTGGGGGGACCCGCAGTAATTATTCCTGAGCAGCGGGAACCCAGCAACACCAATGCCAACAACAACACCTTCACCACCACCACCAGCAACCATAACAACAGTGACAACGATAACAACAACAACAACATCATCATCAACAACAACAACAACAAGAACAACGTCAACGGCTCCCGTCGGATACTTCCTCACAGTTTATTTGAGAATCGCTCTCTCTCGCGCGGGGCTTCACGTAATGTATGAAGGATTCGGCCTCTCGCGTGGTACCCCCCTGCAACCTATTGAAACACCGCGCCCTCGACATTCAGGAATCAGGCTCCCGCTCCGGATGTTCTCATCTTGAACTTGGGAATCGCGCTATTGTTTCATCGCGATTCATGCATGAAGCACGCTTCAGCACCCCGCCTGCTCGACCTGGCCGCCTGGGCCCGCCTTCCCGACCAGCCCGTTCGGTTCTGCCCGCCAGATCTGCTGTCCGTCTGGTTCTGCCACGTGCGCTCTGATCCTAGCCCTATTCCTGTTACTTTCTCTCGTTCGCCATCCTTTTCCCTCCCCCCGTCCCTTCTTTCCATCCGTCCTTTCTTCCCCTGGTTTAGGGGGTGCATTAATTACACCTGGCTGATACAGAAGATATACCCCCAAGGAGGTACGATCGAAGATGAAAGGGGCGGATATCGAGGGCTTGGGATATACGTGTTGGATGTCACGCGGGCATATAAGAGCAAACAGTCTTAAACTTAGTGCTGTTGTTGTTGATGCTGATCTTGTTGTTGTTGTTGCCGTTGTTGCGTTGTTGTCGTCGTCCTTGCCCGCGGCCCGCCCTCGACCCACCCCGCCCCGCGACCCACCCTGCGACCCACCACGCAACCCACCTGGCGACCCACCCGCGACACACACACACACACACTCACACACACACACGCACACATTCACACACACACACACATTCACACACACACACACATTCACACACACACACACACACACGCACACACACACATTGATTTGACGAGAAACTTCGGCACGTGCGGCGGGCCCGTTGTATAAGCCATTAAAGCACAGCAGCGCCTTCGGAGGGCTTCTTCAGAGCCTCCCAGACTGCCGACGACCTCGCCGCCCCTCACTCTTATCCACAACTGCGGGGTCCTGCGTAGATGTGTGTATATATGGCATGTTCTGCGGGGGTGGGGGGCGGTGGG